GTTTGCATGATTTCCGCAGTGAATATTCACAAATCAACGACTCGTACAACTCGTACGAATCGACACACCACCATCGGGGGTCAGTTCTCTCAAAGTGGTGAAATATATCTAAGTCTCCCTTATGAAATTTATGGATAGACAGCACAGCCTTACGACTCATTTCGTTTCCATTGTTTCTGCAGTGAATATTCATGAATCGACGACTTGTACGAATCGACCCACCACCATCTGGGGTCAGTTCTCTCAAAGTGGTGAAAAATTAGTCTCCCTAATGACATTCATGGATAGACAGCACACCCTTACGACTCGTTTCGTTTCCATGATTTCCGTAATGAATATTCATGGTTCGACGAATCGCACGGCTCGTGATTGCATTAGACGACTCGTACGGATCGTACGACTCGTGAACGCATTAGACGACTTGTATCAAGCCGTGGTATTGGACAACCCTCGAAGAATTATTTGCATGTGTAGTTACGTAAAATGTTTAAAATGATCGGAGTCCTTTCCAGTTTTTCACTTCGGTTTTAATTCCTTGATGAAGAGCATTTCAAAAATCAAGCAGTCAAACCTTTATTTGCACTTTTTCAACACTGAAAAAAAAATGTACGTTATCTCCAATGAGAAAAAATATTTCTGTCATCTACTCTTGTTTCATATGGTTATCCTTCCTCTTTGGTGTGGAGAGAAAAAAAAAACAAACAAAATAAAAAAAAATTGAAAAAAAACAAAACACCAACCGCAAGCACTGAAATCCCCACAGAGCTCAGATCTACCGCAGTCCTACCCTATGTCAGTGGCCTCTCTGAACAAATTCGCCGGAAGGATGCCGTCGACCTGGCTAAACAAGATAGGGTAGTCTACAGGATTCCCTGTGAGTGCAGAAAGATTTACATCGGTGAAACTGGTAGACCTATGCAAGAGAGAATTTCAGAGCACGCCCACAACACCGGTTAATTTCATTGATCGTGATCCCCATTTCTAACTACGCAGGTTAAAAGAGGCAATTCAAATATATCAGACTTAACATAACCCTAATAACATCAACAGGGACAATGGAATTGAAATTCCTGAAGCCTGGATGACGACGATCAAAAAACACAACAACAGGACAGCCGTGCGGCAGCGGACCACAGAGGGAGGGAAACAGATCTTAAAGATGCACCAATCACAGCCGTGGAATTTCATCCAATCGCAACTAAAGACAATCGCAACTAAGGACAACAGCATATAGATTAATTTGGTATTATCAACTGAGTTTATGACGTAGATTGGCCACCGTTAAGAGTTTAAAAGTTGACGTTTCGAGCGTTAGCCCTTCGTCAGAGCCATTGGAGGATTTGAGGGTTGTGGGTAGGTTTATGTGCAGAAAATGGAGCTACGCTATCGGTGGGAATATGGTGGCGAGAAAACCAGAATAAATGAGTTGAATGAAAAGCGCTCGTTGATACCGTAGAAATTAAGAGTTTTGATCTGGAAGATAAATTTTTGTTTTCAGAGTTTTGCGGCTTTCCAAACTGACTAGATGTAGGGAAAGGCCGCAAACTGCCATCTGCTGCTTAGAATGATTTGGGAGATTAAAGTGTCTAGCGACTGGTTTAGATGCGTCCTTGTCATTTCTTTCTACGTTGCGAAGGTGTTCTCGGAATCGGTCACCTAATCGTCTTCCCATTTCACTAATGTATAACTTTTTGCAATAAATGCATGTTATGCAGTAAATGACATTGGCGGAGGTTCACGTTATGAATGAAAGGACAAGTTTTGCAACGTGAGTGAGCGCACTTGAAAGTTCCAGGTTGGTCATTGGTTTGAAATGAACTTGTGACCAAAGAGTTGCCGATGTTTTTGTCACGTTTGAATAAAATTGGTAAAGGTTGCGAAAAGATAGTACCAGTCTCTGAATCGTTTTGAGCGTAATTTAAAGTTTTTAAGAATGATAGATTTAACTACGTGGTTTTGAGGTTGAAATGTGAGAGCGAATGAAATGCAATCAGTGTTTTCCTCCTCAGCCTTTTGTAGTACTGACTGTCGATCAGTTTGTTAGACACGGTGGTGGCCCACTTCAAATACAGAAACAGGATAGCCACGTTTATCGGAAAACTGGCATATTGCCTCTTGATTTTTCGGAAAAATCAAAGTCGTCAAAAATTTAAAATACCTATAAAAAGTAGTAAAAAAGGATTGTATTAAGGTCCGCCCTGAAAACGTTTTCCGTTAGAGCCTGATGATTTCTCAAGCTAAAGATCAGAATTCATAATTGATTCAAAATGTTGTTTACGTAAATCACCAACTGAGTGATATTATTCCTCATAAATTAAAACTTTTTCCCTTTGGGCAAGTTAAGACCAGTTTCTAACTATTGAATACCACTTTAAAGACCTTTTAAAGGGCTTCGAATTTTTAGGATTTTTAAAATGTTCAAGGTATTTAAAAGCCCTTTTGAAGTACTTTGAATATTTCAGATATTAAACAATTTTTGGTGGAGCCCAATGAGCGGACAATGCGCTTTAACAAATTTGACTTATAAAGCTATTTCAGAAAAACAAACGATCCAATCTTTCTCCGCAAAACTTTCTAAAAATGACAATTACCGATTTTTGCCTGCCACTAACCAATTTTTGTGTAGCTGTCGTTTTCAGAAGATGAAATTATTTTTCTTTAGAAGATTTTGGAATTCCTTGTTTCATAAACCCGAAGAATTATTTCGTGGTCCTTTGAAGAGTGTTATCTTGGTACCTATTGAAAGATTGATTTGTTAGTTGGAGGAGTTTTCGCTTCCTCTTTGATATATCTAGGTGTGGTGTTGGACGTCAAATTAACTGATTTGGAAACAAGATAGTTCATTGTATTTAAGTGTAGAACCAAATTTCACATATGACCAGGAAGACAGCTCTAACTCTCACATCTCACTTTAAAGCAACTGTACTCCCACACTCAGCCCAGTTTAAAACATGTAAAACTATCTCAAAGTCGTTTTGCACAGGGGATTAGGTTATGTTAACTGAGATTAGCTGATACCCTGTTAAAATTGCAGCGGGTACCATAGTATATAAGGGTAAGTGGCAATTAAAAGGGCTTTCAGCTGCATTGAACCTTTTGTATAGATTCAACACCAACGGCTACTTCGCCAAGCATACTACGCCAAGACTGTTACTATCGTTTGGCAACCTCCACGTATTTCATTCAAACGTGTCAAAAACATAGGCAACTTTTTGGTCAGATGTTCATTATCAAGTAACGACCGACCCGGAACTTTCAAATGCGCTCACGCACGATACAAAACATGTCCTTCCATTCATAACCTTGAGAAAATAAGGCGAACCAAACGATCCACTAAGATTACAGATCACCTCACGTGTCCCTCTGCCAATGTCATCTATTGCATAAGTTGCAACTATAATAAAGTTCGGATATAACGCACGCTGTTATTCGTTGAAAGAGCGTGCTCTATCAGAGTATAGCACATAGGGCAGGAGAGCTAAAGCTGTCACACCATCTGCCAAATTGTACTATGTCGGACCATTTCCCGGACTTCTCTGAAGCATTTTTCATTAGTTGAAGTGAAATTTCTGAACGAGGGAGACGGCAAATAGCAACAGAAGAACCAAACAAAGCTTTGTAATCATATCAAGGGTCGTCATTGACGTTATTATAACGTAAGGAGAGACGAAAATACTCTCAGGGAAACGAAATGGACGGTCCAAGTTTTGAAGGCTTTCACTCTCAATTAGATTTCAAGCTTACGTACGATAATAAAAGTCAAATAATAAAAGTCAAACACAGCCAACACTCGTGTAGTATATATAGTTTCGTGTTGAAAAGTATAGCCAAACTGGCGTAACTGTCAAAATTCATACTAGTCGGGACGGTGTCAGACCGACCGCGATCATGCTGAAGTCCATCGCGACTCGCTTATCATGGCGATCTCCGATTATCGCAGTGAAGCAAGCCTCAGAAATTAGATCGGCCGCCCTTCAAGTAAATAAAGGGGTAAATTTCTAAAGAAACTGTGGTGCTGCGTCGGTGGGAGAGTATAGCAGGTAATTTAGTGTTAACAACTGAGTTGAAAACGTAAATTAGCCACCGTAAAGGGTAAAAAAGCTGACGTTTCGAGCGTTAGCCCTTCGTCATCGCTCTGACGAAGGGCTAACGCTCGAAACGTCAGCTTTTTTACCCTTTACGGTGGCTAATTTACGTTTTCAACTCAGTTGTTAACACTAAATTACCCGCCCTTCAAGTAAACAACTGAGAGCTCGCTCTGATATCCTTTCCGATACGTTGAGTTGAAGGCCACACCGGTCACAGCAGCCAAGTTTTACGGCGCTGTCATCCAGAGCAATCTTTAAATTGCCGTGAATTCGATTGTTTTTCATTTATAAAACACGCCTTCAGCAGTTTGTTTTCTAATTTTCATGTGGAAAAATTTGCGTGCTTAGGAAGCGGCTAGAGCACTACGTCTCTTACGACTACGTTTCCTGTTTCTCTCTATTCTTCTCTCGTACTCTAACCACTTCCTGTGTGCTTTAGAACGGAACAGAGCACAGTCAAGGCTTTTCTAATTGTTAATTATTGCAAAAAGATATACATTGGTGAAAAAGGAAGACGACCTTGAAACCGATTTCGAGAACACCCTTTTCAAGGGTAAAGACATCTTTTAAAGAATAACATATTGTTTCAAATAATTAAATCAGCCAATCACCAGTCATACAGCTTCAGTTGTTTTACCGCGATCTTAATGTGATTAAACGTGCACGTGATCAGGTGATAGCTTCAAAATGATAATAATGATTAATACGCGGATATAGTTGTTTTTAAAACTTCTTTTTTTTTACTTAAGTTTCTGTTGTACACATTCTAGTCTTCTCTCCTCCGCTTAGTCCTAGAAAATTTGAGGGTTGCTTTGTTGGCATAATTCATGCAACCCAGAAATACTGGAAGCAATTCGACCTTCCTTAGTTTGCCACTCGTTATATCCTTTTCAATTACCTCATGTAATTTAACTATGGAGACTTTTCTTGTATACGTCTCCTTTGGATCTTCGATTCATTGTTGTGTCCAAACACTGCAAAACTCCCAACGGCAACACCACCTTTAGCACCACACCCGACTGTCCACAGAGAACTGGGGACTGTCATGGCTTGAGATTAAGGAGGATATTCATTAAACAGTTTAGGTCCTTCACTTGGATCATTGATGTCATACCTGTCTGTATCTGGATCCCGATTAACAAATGAAGTTCTAGTGAGGAGATATAAAGTTCCATCATCCTTAGTGCAGTTATTCGTAGCATAGTCACGTATCATTCCCTCATACTGAGACCACTGACCACCATTAAAAGCTTATTGCTGTGGCACTGCATTCGTGTAGACGAAAGTGGATCGCAAGCCTGCACAATATGGCCTGTATCTGATAAAGTATGTGCAGGTGCCAAGTGCCCTCTGTGAAATGGTAGGCTGGGATAGATCGCGCTGCTTCCTTGTTTCCTTATGCCTTAAAAGAGAAATTGAATTCTGGAAAATAGATCCGCTATTATTGTTAAGAATATAAATATAACAGTTGTGGACATCGACTAAACAAAACTGTACCAAACTCCATCAAACTACGCCAGAACTACACCAAGGAAACCAAAAAGGAAATTAACACACAGTGCACAAAAACAGCAGGTGCACCAAACTACAACCTCCACTCAAAACAACACTTAACCTAAAGCACAGAGGGTTTAAACAGGTCCTATGTATTAAAATTAATTTGCTATCAGAAGCTTGATTAAATACCTTGGGTTTGTCTCCATTTTAGCCGTGGCCATTCTCTGAAGTTTACGTTATCTTTCGTGAGTGTTAGTCGAGTATACTGGAATTCAAAGTTGCTCGTCGAACATTGTTCCATAGTGGGTTCCATCGTTGAACTCACGGTAATCTTCTTGACAGATATAATTTGTGTGTGGATAACGTGGATGTCGCAAACCTACCGGTGATACATTTCCTGCAAAGTTTTCCTTGTAGCAGTCATGATCCCATAGATAGCAAACAATTTTTCGGTTCCCTGTGATATCTTGCCTGTTGCCTGATGAGAAAAAAATTATGCTGCATCAAGTCATTTATAATGGTATAATAGGACCGAGTGGAGTCCAATTCGGTCTGTAATCATACGAGTGATTAACGACATCGGACGACCGCAAAGCGGGAGTCCGATTTGTTAATCAAGAGTATGATTACAGACAGAATTGGACGACACGAAGTCCTGTCACCAGTTAATCAAAACCATGAAAAAATTTGAAGGAAACTGGACATCGGTTATACGTTTTCATTGAAAAAAAAAAAAAAAGACCGGTTAACTCGGCGAAATGGGAGACAACAGCGCGCGCACATGACGCGTTCTGTCAACTGTCCCTTTAACTGTCCTAATATACTGTCCAATTACAAGCATGACGCGCACACTGTACTATTAGTGCTCAAATCGGGCTGGGGATAACCAGAAGTTTGTTAATAATGGCAATAGGAACAAGGGGAGTGCAATTCGGATGACCACGAAGCAGGAGTCTGATTTGTCAATCACGAGTATGACTTCGGACAGAATTGGACGGCACAAAGTCCTGTTACCAATTAATCATAACTACTACAGTGTCTGAAAACAACAAATACATTTAGGACAAATATATTTGCCGTAGAGACAATGTCTATTGTGATCAATTCTGTGGTTGGTGGATTTGACTGAAAGGACTAAGTATGATTGGCTGCTTCAACTGTCCGATTGTAGGTGTCCGATTACAGTCAGCTGTCCGCTTACACATTTCGATTACAACTCTACAGAATGATTTTTGAAAAATAAAGCAGCTACTGCAACAATCACATTTGAGGAAATTGTAATGGTTATGATTAAAAATGAAATCTGCCCTCATATTGCACTGCTTTTGATGGCTATTTAACTTACCACAGCATGGCAGAAATTAAAAAATTTTTTTTGTGCTATACCATTGGACATTTGTCACTTATATTTTCGTGGTATAGCACTAAGCTAGAGGTTCCTCTGTATACAGTGAAAATTTACATCACCCGTGAGATAATTGTTAATAGACCCCTTCAGGCGGCTGGTATGTCAGCTATTTATGCCCGCGGCTAATATATTCTCCGGAAATGAATAGTTGGACGAAAAACGAAATTTCGAGGGTAAATGCAAAATTTTGAGGACAATCTCTCAGCTAAGGGCACAACAAGCCGACAAACCAGCAAGTCAGAGAATGCTTCATTTCATTTATAACCCTCCCATCAATTTTCGTATCACACGTGACAGTAAATTTAGTAGACTGTTTTGCACTTTCCGGAGTAGTATTGAGATCAGCTTCTTAATGTCACTATCACTGAACTCTGCCAAAAGAGTTCTTTTTTCATCCATAAAAGATAACAGATGAAAAAGATGAACTCTTGTGCTGGCTTTGTTTCTCTTCGACGGAAATAATGGTTAGGCAAATTTCAGCATATACAAGGGTTGGTTATTTATAGATAACGCATTCAGCGAGTGAATCATCGGGATTTACCTGCGCGAGTTCACTAACAATGAACGAGAAATTTCATCACCGCACGAGGCGTTGCCGAGTACGATATTGAAAATTTCGCGTGTTCAAATACGCTGCACAAAGAAACACTTCACTGAAACCACTATATACTATGCTGGTGCAACTGTTGACAACACGCAAAAACACCAACTAGCTTGAATGAAAAATTTAAATTTCGCAACCTCACCTTTCAAAACAGATATTCCCCAAGCAGTTGCTTTCTTGCTGTTTTTAGGAATTGCATCATCAATAAGAGAATCAGTGTCTGAATCTGACAAATCGTCAAACTTTGAGTCAGCCGACGCCTTGGTGTGATGACAGTGGTGTGCTGAATTTACACCACGGCTATTATACCAAGATAATAACGTCAAGGGGATTGTTTCGTCACAACCCAGTACCACGTATTACAAATCAGTCAATCAGAAAATCGGAATGCGTACAGTGTATGAAAGTTGAATAAAAAAATCATGATATTCTGCTGAAAAATCTTACCTACGTGCATCCATAATTCAATAGACGTAAAGCTAAAAACATGAACCTTATTCTTTTACAAAAGAGCAATGAGACACAACTAGTGCTTAAAGAAAGAGTTTTATTGCAATTGCGTCAGGTTTCCATCTAATTGAGTTCTAGTCGAAAAAAAAGACAAGAAAAAGACAACCAAGAAATACTTCGAGATTAAAGCTTATTCAAAGAATTGTTGAATTGCTACTTAGAAGCGAAAAACGAACGAATTTTTTGCATATATGAGACTGCATAGTAGTTTTACCGTGCTTGAGTTGTCGTTTGCTAGAATCCACGGCCAAAAAATGTCTAGCTTTGTGTTGAAAATTCTGAAATTGTAGGATTTAAACATTAAAGTCTCATCTTTGACAATATTTTTAGGACAAATAATCACTTAAAAAATAATATAAACCTATCGAAAAGCGAAGTGCAAAACGTAGGAATTTCTTGTAATTACGAGACCTACGTGGCAGATCCACCATACTTCAATTAATTGTTTACTAGAATGTACGACCAGAAAATTGCTTAGCTTTGTTTTGAAAATTCTGAAAATTGTACGACTTTAAACAAATCTTTTCTTAAAAAAAACACTTTTGGAACACATCAAAACTAAAAATAATATTTACCGCTTTGAAAGAGTCCCTCAAGTCACAAAGCCTCACATGAAGTCACAAAGCTCAGTTTTGTTTTTGTTGCCACAATTCCCATTGCGTTTGGGAATGAAGTATCGTTGACTCCAAAGCCAATTTCGTCGCTTCAAAGAACAACATACCCATTGTTTTTTTTAACGAATATTATTTAGCATATTTAATTCTCATTTTGAGCTCCAAAGAGTCTATCTCAGTCAGAATTGAATGGAATAACAGTCTTGAGAGTTTTGACACCTCGCGGTAAAACTCGACGGGAACTTGCAGCTAAAGTGAACAGTACACGTCATATTATGTGTGCACAGCTTTGCGTACAAAGAGCTTAACACCGTAGTGGCTCCGGCTTTAGGAACTAAGTGGTACTTGCGCCCGCGATTTCTTGTAAAATGAATGTCAGTAAAAGTAGGGTTTTCTTTTTTGTATAACTTGTTAGAGCGCTTTGGAAATTTGGATTTTTGCTGACTTTATTCTAGATTAAGAGCTGTATTTGATAAACTCGGAGAGAACGAATTTTGACCTATGAATAAGATAAAAGACTTTTGATGACTGTTAAAAATGTCAGTTCATTTTTTTAACAAGGTTACAGTGAGTACTTCTTTACCACAAGAAGCTGAAATTGGTAAAAAAAGATAGAAATAAATTCCTCGGCGATAAAAAATGTGAACAGCCAACCGATATAAAGGTAAGGTTTGCCACTCCTCAATCTGGGCTTTGTGGTTCTTGTTATATCAATTAGCCGTGCAATTCTTTTACGCGATTTCAGTTTTTAAAACATGAACAGTTGCTTATGTCACCTTTTCTCAGTTTCCTTTGGCCGCTATCAGTCCAAACATTAGCAGAACGTGTAAACTCTTCACATGGATTGCCTCCATCTTAGCATAAGAGTCAGCAGGGGCTACCATTCACGACATTGGCCGCTGTTAATCTAAACATTAGCAGGACGTGTGAAATCTTCACATGGAATCCCACCATCTTAGCATCAGAGTCAGCAGGTGAGGATAGGAATCTTCATCAACTGCCTTAAACGAATGGTAAACACCTGACTGTAACATGAATCCTAAGGGTATAACTACCTCATGGAAGTTTGCAGGTTGAGTGGATTGTCCAATAGCACAGCAGAAGTCTCAATATAGCTCGTATTGCTTGTGTGAAGCAACCTTAGTGATTTTATTTCACATCAATTTAAAAAATTTTGTTATCCTTTGTGCAACTTAGAACCCGTTCCTCATGATTGAATACTGCTTTAAAGACCTTTAAGATAGCTTCGAATATTTAAGATTTTTAAAACGTTGAAAGTATTTAAAAGCCCTTTTGAAGTATTTTGAACATCTATCAGAGATTAATGAGTGGACAATACATTTTAACAAATTTGACTAACAATGCTATTTTAGAAAAACAAACAAATACAATTCTTCCCCGAAAAAACACTTTTTAAAAGGTGGGAACGCACCAGATTTATTGAGAAGACAAATTAAGAAGGCTTTTGAAATATCAGTTTCAAACCGTGTGATATCTAAACGGGTGCTTCTTTCGGTGTTATTTATTTGGGTACCAAACCAACCGCCGTAAAGCTGCGTTCAAGGGTTTTGTTAATTTAGATGTTACATGGTAAAGAGTATTTGCAATTCAATTGATTAAAATACCACACACCTAATCTAGAAGATTAAGCCATCCTAAACCTACCAAAATGGAATATCAAGGTGAGGTACGTTTATGGGATATATATATACATGTATCATTAGCCTTGACCCTTGTTTAACAAAAACGTGACGCTCTCGTACTAATTAAGGAGAGCTGATTTCAAATCGATTTCAGCGAAAGCGAGGATGAGTTATAAAAAATGTCCCTGGAGAGCAAAATCTGTTGATAACTCCATAGACGACTGAATAGAGTTTAAACTAGGGATCTGAAATTTTAAATGAAGTACCTGTTTAAGGAGCGTTAATGAAGCAGGTAAACACAAAATTCATCTCTTCCAAACTTACTTAAATTATAACTTCCAAGCTTAGCCTACAACTAACGAATTTTTCTGTAGCTGTTGTTTTGAGAAAATAGAATTATTTTTTTTTTTTTAGAAGATCTAGTTACCTATTGAAAAATCGATAGGTTAGGTGGAGGAAATTTAGATTCCTATTCGATATATCTAGGTGTAGTATTGGACGTCAAATTACCTCATTCGGAACCTAGATAGATCATTCCATTTAAGTGTACGACCAAGTTTCATATATAACCGACGATAAGAAAACTTTCACGTCTTTCTATAAAGGCACTGTACTTCCACATTGAATTAATCATGAAAACGCAGACATTGTCAGGGGAATTAGCCCAGTTTAACGCAGTTAAAAGTATCTCGACATAACTGACATCAGCTGATGCCCCGCTCAAATTTCAGCGGGTGCTATTGTCTAGAAGGCGCTCTGGACAAGTTTCAATTAAAAGGGCAATCCCAAAACAGTTCGATCTGCTCAGAGCTGCATTGAAGGTTTTTGCATGTAATGTACGTGATTTTACACAATGACATACGATATTTGTAAAAATGGCATTCTCAGAGCAGTAGTCAGAATCGTCTAGCTTACGTTTAGTATCCTTTAGTCTGTGAGCCGCAACAATTGTCAATATCATAAAAAGGAAAAACATTGAGTAAACCAGAAGCTTTCTGACGAGCCCTTCTATTTCAATGAAAAAGATTCCGGACAAAAAAAGGAAGGAAGGTCAAGTTCATCTGTTTGCTGTTAAAAATTTTTCAAAGAATTTTTGTCAAATGGCAGTTTACCTGAGGCCATTGCTTCTGGCTAACGGACTGGTCATCATTTATAGCCTATGAGTCGGGGAGGGGGTGGAAATTTTGATTGGGAGACGATAAAATTTACTTAATCCCCCATAAGACTCTGTAAGACTCTAGGATCTTCCATCATTGGATTTTGGCTCTATTTCATTTCTCACACACTTTTAGTCTTTTATATCTTGAAATAGAGTTTAGAGTTGATTATTGAAATTCTGGAAACTTATGCTTGATTAAAAGATAACAGTGAAACCACAACAATAAAAGATGAAGTGAGTCTTAGTCTGCTCGGTACATCAGAGAGACTGCATTAGAATTACAAATTTCTCGTAACCAGACCCTCTCGCCACAAGTGGAAGGTTCTTGAAGCTCAACTAGTCTCAACTATTGCCAACTTGTCTTGGAGGTTACACAGCAGCATACAGTTTCCCGCGTTTTTCTTTATATTTTGTGTTACCTCTGCCAGAGTCGTTTGTAAGTGACAAATTAAATATCTTAGTTGGTCAAGGATTGCATCACATTTCTTTGTGATCAACCCGCTTAAAATAATAAGTATAGCTAGGGTGCTAAACGTTTACGGGTAAATTCAACCATAGGTGGCTTTCTTCTCAGACATTAAAAGCCTGTGTTTAAAACGTTTTCTCGCAGAACAGGGAAAACTTTACTTGTCTCAATTCGTCACGTACACTCTGTAGATCTATCATGTGATCTAAACGCCAGACTACATGCATCTTTCCTTTGATGAGCTACAAATTATAAGCAAAGAAAAAGGATAAAATGGAAACTTTTTTTCTAATCAAATTACTTGAAAAATTATACCGAAACTATTATTCACTCCAGGTTCGGTGAATATTAATTTCTTATCGACCGAATGCGAGGGCCATACCGGGGAATATTGGCCGAGGTCGTGGCAGTATAAAAACGACTGACGGCCAATATTGTCCAGTAATTGTTAAACAATCACGTTTCCTTGTTCGAATTCTTCAGATGCGAAAAATTATTCTAACTCCATATTATTCTGCTTCCTCTCTTACTCTAGTTCTTTCTCTTCTTCTATTTTTTCTTCTTCTTCTTCCTCTTCTTCTTCTTCTTCTTCTTCTTCTTCCTTTGGATCTCCTTTAACATACTCGGGTAGCTTTGCCAAGTTTTTCAGTAAACAGCCTGGATGATTAGGATATAGACTGACTTCTTCACCTCTGAGATCGTCTTGCTCAAGAATCTTTTGGAGGATTATAACAGAAATTTGTTGCGTATGCATTTCATCTCGTTCGTTGACATTGTTGCCGATCACTGCAAAACTTTCTATTGCATAATAAGGAGGAGAAGTACCGACACAGCATCCGGCAGTCCAAAGTGACTTGGGAACATATATTTCATGGTAATTATCTTCCCCAGGCCGCGTTTCTATTTTACCTCCTTTCCTCACCCCTTTAACCTTTTCATTTTTATCTATCTCGACCAGAGCATCAACAGAAACAAATGCGGTGCCACTTAAAAGATAGAGAACTCCATTGTGATATTTAGTGCACACTTCTGCATACTTTCGTATTCTTCTCTCAAACTTGGACCATTCACCAGCATTAAAAGATGGACGCTGAGGCACGGCGTTCGTGTATCTAAAAGTAGAACGAAAGGCCCCTTTGTCACTTGATAAAGTGTGCGCTGGGGCTAAGTGGCCTCTTTGCCAAGGTGCCTGTGGGTATGTGTCTTTTCCGACTTGGTTCTTGATACCTTTAAAAAGGGAAAAAAAAGTGGTTGATTTAACGTCCTCTGTTTACTCTAATATTAAATGAGGTTGAATAAATTCAGAATGAAAACTTCTTTGTTTCATCACTAAAGGTTACTTTGTCGGTTGAACTCAGCTTTGTGAAAATTGTTCACTTTTTGTAAAGTTCAGCAAATCACAGGAATCAAATTTCCGCCATATTCTAGTTGCGTTCAGTTTTCGTTAGTAAATAATGGGATTTGCTTCAAATCAATCATCTGCCATCATCATCGTCGTCACCATCACGCCATTTTCATCAAATTCAAGATCCACAACTCAAGATTATTTCAGTAAGGCTTGATTAATTACTGATTATTAACTTCCTATCAGGGAAAGTTTTCTCTTGTAGTGGAGAAATTATCACATATACTTATTGTGCATGTGGTTATTCTATGTGACTGAATAAAACGAGATTACGAGATTACCTGAGAGTCCCGTGGCGAAACGGAAGTGGGGAAAAAACGATATGAGATTAAAACCCAGGATCAGGTAATTGTCTTTGTTCGTGCCTTTCGTGTTTTGCTTGGTTTAGTTTTCGCTTTCTTGTAGCTTTTGCTAATTGCTTATCTTGTAGGTTTATTTTTCACATTTTAGGTCTTATTTTCGTTGGTCATCACCATCATTTTCATGGTTTAAACTTAACAAATTAGAGAAATACACAACCCGAATATAACAAAGCTGTTTGTGTTACTTACAATCAAATGTAGAAAAATGGATCAATGGTAAATCACGTAAAATAAATAAATAAATGAGATAGAATAAAATAAATAGGCATACACATACATTCACAGATAGCTACCATTTACATGAGTAGAGCAAGAGTCCACGTGAATACTTAGAACATAGGGAAATAATATTAGTAACTAGAGTTTGATTAATGATAATCATTAATTTTTGAGATTAATGCTGAGACATGAATATAATCATCCTCATCAGCAAGCACCGCAAATAATAATTGATGAATTTTTGAAATGTTTACGCAAATTAGTTCAGGTTTAGTTTTGCGCCTTTTGAATCCATAGTGTAGTAGTGGCGCGTTTGGTCACAATCGTCTTTTAACCGCTTTGCGTTGCTTCGCTTCGTTTCACTTTGTTTTGTATCGATTCGTTTGTTTTCGTAAAATAGATGAAGTAAATTAAGCGCGTACAGACATACACAACTACAGTGAGGAAGTGGTCATAATCTCTGACAACAATATGTAAGCTAGTGATTTTGATACGCTACTAACTTGTTGCATTACCTCTCGTTGCTTCCTTTATTTCACTCTGTAGGGCGCAAGCTAATCGAGACCCAATCATGATACACGGGCTGGGAGTTGACTGGAGCCCTCCCCCCTCATTTGGATTTATTAATAATTTTTCAGTATACCTTTGTTTTCTTGCCATGTTGGGCGACATCTCCGTTCATAATTCATGTTTTCTGATCTGAGTCTGTAGGCTGAATATACTGGAATTCCCCGAACTTGGTCGAAAAGCGTTGTGTAGTAGGTTTCTTTGTCCGGGCGGAATTTGTATCTGCTTTTCTGTTGGCAAATGAGGACGGTTCCTTCTTGGTCCTTACGTAAACCCTTTGGCAGTGTCCCACTGGGAAAGAACTCTTTGACATGAGTGTCCTGGCAATCACTTTTTCTTGCTTTTTTGGGGACACTTTTACGGAATCCTGGCACATCGTGTGCCCTTTTTATGCTGTTCCCAATGAGAAACCGACCGTCCCTCGTACCTAAAGATGTAAAGAAGATGCTCTGCTTGAAAAGTCCTTACTATATTTATATTAGTTCCGAAGTTCTTGCGGTCTATTGAAAGTAAACAGAATCTTGTATCTCACCGTTTTTGTTTTTCATGAGGCGTGGGCCCCCTTCCACCAAGTTGGACTTTATCAGTCCAAATTTTAGCAGGAATAGCAAAGTCTTCACATGTATGGCGTCCATCTCAGTCGTAAAACCAAGTCAGGCAAGGCTTAGTCTTCGCAAGTTGAAGAAAACGAATGGAATAGTTAACAAGTGACAATTTTTTTTTATGGGCAAAGCATTTTGGTAGACTTTTGCCGGTTGAATGGATGGTCCAATCACACGGCAGGACAATAATTATCTCGCTTCACAGAGTGAGCTTAATTAATTCTTTAGACATTGAGAGAATTTTTCTAATGTTTAAGTTATGACCACGCCCTTAAAAGGGCTTTGAACACTTCATATTTCAAACATTTGCTCATGTTTAATTCATTAACTCAGTCAATTGCAATTTTGAGCTAACTTCACTTAGCTCTTAACTCGAGTTTACCGACGAATAAAAACTAAATTTTAGAACCCTTTTTTACAAGAAGGAAGCAGGTTTTACAAGGCGTGAAGGTGGATCCCAGTAGAAAAAAATAAAGGAAGAGAAACAAAAGAGAAAGTTCCACGATAGGAGTGTCAAGGCTGTTTCACACAAACATGTGGTTGTGTTTCTTACCAGGATGCTACTGTCACCTTTTCTCCTTGCTTTTTGTTCGATTTCTAGGTCTTGCAAAGAAGTGTATTTGCTTTCACATCTAAGGTTTGTTTTTTTTAAAGTTGCTTAGGGTTTCAATGGGGTTAACTGTTAGCCTTAAAACGGCCAAATAAGGTTAATTAGTCGTTATGCGTTAAGGATTGACAAATTTTAACCGTTAGACGTTAAGAAAATTTACGACATTTTCTCCCATAATTTATGTTAGCTACGTTTCGTTGTTTTGCCCTAAGTCGCCGCGACTTAGGGCAAAACAAGGGCCTTGTCTAATTACTACGACTCCAAAAATGACCTCCTGAATTACGACGAATTCTTGAAATACTTTACTCCACCTTTTAAGCTCCATTGAGAGAGTCTCAAAAATCGTTTTTAATGGAGCAGTCAACCCGTTTTCCACGGTAAACAGTATTTCGGTTCCCCGTGATATCTTGCTTGTCACCTGATGAGAGATAAAAAAAATTGCTGCATGAAGCCATTTATAATGTTAATAGGAGCGAGCGGAGTACAATTCGGTCTGTAATCATACGAGTGATTAACAAAATCGGACGTCTACGAAGCGGGAGTCCAATTTGTTAATTACGAATATGAACGACACGATGTCCTGTTACCAAATAATTAAAACTACGAAGCAATTTGAGGAAGAATTAGACATCGGTTATACGTTTTCATTAAAAAAAAAAACCAGTTAACTCGGCGAAATGAGAGACAACGGCGCGCGCACATGACACATTCTGTCCATTTACACAGGCATGACGTGTTGACTGTCCCTTTAACTGTCCTATTACTCTGTCCAATTACAAGCATGACTCGTACACTGTCCTAGTAATGCTGGTGATAACCAATCACGTTCAAGAACTTTGTTACAGTTTTGGTTAAAGAATGAAATCTATCCTCACAATGCACTGCTTTTGTTGGCTATTCAACTTCCCACAGCATGGTATAAATTAGTTATTTAACATTTTTGTTATGCCATACCATTGAACACCCCTTTCGTCACTTATATTTTCGTGGTATAGCAATACGCTAAAGGCTCCTCTGTATACAGAGAAAATTCACGTCACTCGTGAGATACTCATTAATAAACCCCTCCGGATGACTGGTATGTCGGCTGATAGTGTTCGTGGCTGAGATATTGTCCGAAAATAATTATTTGGCCGAGAAGCGAAGTTTCGGGGGTAAATGCAAAATTTTGAGGACGATCTCTCAGCAAAGGACACGACCAGCCGACGAACCAGAAAGTCAGAGAGAGGTGTATTTAGTTCATAGCCCTCGCATCAATTTTCGTATCGCACGTGACAGCAAATTTAGTTGACTATTTTGTACTTTCCGGAGTAGTTTTTGAGATCAGCTTCTTAATGTCTCTATCACTGGACTCTACAAAAAGAGTTCTTTTTTCTTCCCCATAAGATAACAGATGAAAAAGTTAAACTCTTGTGCTGGCTTTGTTTCTCTTCAACGGAAATAATGGTTAGGCAAATGCCTAGTGATTTTGCACGGTACGTGATGTAAAGCAGCCAATAGTATTCGCTCAAAAATAAGTGGTTGGTTATTTACAGGATAACGCACTCAGCGTGTGATTTATCGGGATTTACCTGCACGAGTTCACTAACAATGAACGAGAAATTTCAATACCGTACGAGGCTTTGCTGAGTGCGGTATTGAAAATTTCGAGTTCACTGTTTGTGAATGAGCACAGGTAAATCCCGATAATTTATGAGCAATGAGTGCGTTGACATTTTTATTATTCAAATTGAATACGCTGCACAAAGAAACACTTCATTGAAACCACTCTATACCAAGCTGGCGCAACTGTTGACAACGCGCAAAAACACCTCAACTAGCTTGAATGAAAAATTTAAATTTCGCAACCTTACTTTTCAAAACAGATATTCCCCAAGCAGTTGCTTTCTTGCTGTTTTTAGGAATTGCATCATAATAAGAGAATCAGTGTCTGCATCTGACAAATCGTCAAACTTTGAGTCAGCCGAAGCCATGGCGTAATGACAGTGGTGTGTTGAATTTACACCACGGCTATTATACCATGATAATAACGTCAAGGGGATTTTTTCGTCACAACCCAGTATCACGTGTTAAAAATCAGCCAAACAGAAAATCGGAATTCGTGCAGTGTATAAAAGTTGAATAAAAAAATTCATGATATTCTGCTGAAAAGTGTTACAGGCGTATTAAATCTTAAACAAAAGCAAAAATGCAAAATAAAGGGAATCAGCGAAGCACTCATCTTCATCAGAGGTTTTGATGTTTAAAGGACTCGATGGAGAACTTTAAGTTCTCATCATAAAAAAAAATAAAAAAAAAAAAAAACATTTTAAATTAGTGTTGTATTCCCCTTTAAAGTTTCTTACAGTGAGCCTCACAAGGGAATTCATTCGATTAAAGAATTGGTCCATGATAGCGTACTTATATCTAATTATACCTCGAGCAATTCTTGCGCTTCTCTCGTGCTTCTTCAACCTTCCCACGCACAGCTAAAAAAAAGTGAACCAATTCTTTTTTTTAAAATAGCAGTGAGAAACATCTTGTGCCTTAAGAAAGATTTTTATTACAACTGTGTTAGGTTTCTATTCAACCGAGTTCTAGGCGAAAAAAAGAGACAAGAAAAAAAAAAAAACCAAGAAATATTTCGACATCAACGCTTATTCAAATAATTGTTGATTTGCTGCTCAGAAGCAAAAAACCAACGAAATTTTTGCTTATACGAGACCGTGTAGTAGTTTTACCATGCTTGAGTCGTCGTTTAGTACAATCCACAGCCAAAAAATATGTAGCTTTGTATTGAAAATTCTGAAATTGTTGGTTTTTAAAATCAAAGTCTTCTCTTTAACATTACTGTTAGCAAATATTAGCACTCAAAAAATAAAGAAAACCTTTCGTTTTCCAACGCTTTGGAAATTTGAATTTTTGCTGACTTTATTTTTAAACTAAGAGCTATATTTGATAAACCCGAAGAGAGCCAATTTTGATCTATGAATAAAATAAAAGACTTTTGATGATGTTAAAAAATGGTCACTTCTTTTTTTGGACAATGATGATTACTTCTTTAACACAAGAAGTCAATTGCTAGCATAAATACTTGTAAAAAAAAATTGGTGAAAAAAGGTAGAAACAAATTCCTCGGCGATAAAAAATGTGAGCAGCCAGCCGATATAAAGGTGAGGTTTGCCACTCTTCAATCTGGGCTTTGTTGTTCCTATTATTTCAATTAGCCCTGCAATTTTTTACACGACATCAGTCTTTAAAACATGAACAGCTGCGTATCTTACCTTTTCTCAGTTTCCTTTGTAAGGGGCTACCATTCACGACATTGGCCGCTGTCTATCCAAACGTTAGCAGGACGTGTGAAATCTTCACATGGAATCCCACCATCTTAACATCAGAGTCAGCAGAAGAGGATAGGAATCTTCATCAACTGCATTAAACGAATGGTAAATAACTGGCTGTAGCAAGAATCTTAAGGGTATAACTTCCTCGTGGAAGTTTGCAGGTTGAATGGATTGTCCAATAGCACAGCAGAAGTCTCAATATAGCTGGTATTGCTTGAGTGAAGCCACCTGAGTGATTTTATTTCACAATAATTAAAACCTTTTTTTTTCCCTTTGTGCAACTTAAAACCCGTTCCTAACGATTGAATACTGCTTTAGAGACCTTTAAGATAGCTTTGAATATTTAAGATTTTTAAAACGTTGAAAGTATTTAAAAGCCCCTTTGAAGTATTTTGAACATTTGTCAGAGCCTAATGAGTGGACAGTACACTTTAACAAATTTGACTAACAACACTATTTCAGAAAAACAGCCATATATAATCTTTCCCCGAAAAAAACACTTTTAAAAAGGTAGGAAGGTACCAGATTTATTGAGGAGACAAACTAAGAAGGCTTTTGAAATATCAGTTTCAAACCGTGTGATATCTAAACGGTGCTTCTTTCGGTGTTATTTATTTGGGCGCCCAACCCACCGCCGTAAAGCATAAAGCTGCCGCAGCTATGCGGCGGTTGGGTTGGTTGGGTTGGTTCAAAGTGTGAAGGATTTGTTAATTTGGATGTTACGTGGTCTAAAGAGTATTTGTAATTCAAATGATTAAAATGCCAGGCTTAATATAAAAAAAAAATTAGTCCCTCCTACATCCACCTAAATTGGATATCAACCTGAGGTACTACTGGGATAGATAAACATGTATCATCAGCCTTGACCTTCGTTTAGCCCCAAAGACTTGACGCTCTCGTAGGAAGAACTGATTTCAAATCGATTTGTGGCAAAAGTGCGAACAAGTTATAAAAAATGTCCCTGGAGAGCAAAAATCTGTTGATAACTATGAATAAGAAAGAATAGTTTTTAAACTACGGGTCTGAAATTTTAATGAAGGACCCATTTAAAGAACTTTATTGAAGCAGGTAAACACAAAATTCACTTCTTGAAAAACTTACTGAAATTATAACTACCAAATTTCGCCTACAACTAACAAATTTTTCTGTCGCTGTTGTTTACAAAAAGTGATTTATTTTTTTTAGAAGGTTTTGGAATGCCTCCTTTAAAAAACCCGAAAATTACTTTGGTGGTCCGTTGAAGAGTGTTATATAGTTACCTATTAAAAAATTGATAAGTTAGTTGGAGGAGATAAGCTTCCTCTTTGATATACCTGGGTGTGGCATTGGACGTCAAATTAAAGCATCTAAGTGTACAACCAAATTTCACCCATGACCGATAAGACAACTCTCACATCATAAACTATAAAGCCATTATACTACCACACAGAGATAACCATGAAAATCAATAACACAAAATATATAGCTACGGAGAAACTAATTGTATAAGTAAACAGCAAGCAAATAACGGCAAAATCATGGTAAAACTTGTCATGTGTAATGCATAAAGCGTATTTGTTTGAGAGAAAGTTCTCAAACCTGTTGATCGAAGTCATACATGTCTAATACACCCAAACCGCTACGATTCGTCCACGGTCGTAAACGAATCGACACACCGGAAGTCGAATCGTGGGTTAGCATACCGGAAGTGGAGGGTAGTAAGCAATGTGTGAAAATGATAGCATGATATACCGGAAGTCGAATCATGCGTTAACATACAGGAAGTCGAGGGGCGTGAGCAATGTATGAAAATGAGTAGCATGAAAAGAGAAAATGACAACATAAACCTTTCACGTTCTTAAAGCGTGAAACGGCCAGAAGTCTATTATAAGAATCAAAATGAACCTTCTTCCTTCCTTAAGCGTTAAACAGGGGTATTAAATGTTGAGAAATCGACTCGTACGAGTCGACACAACTCGTTATTTGTAAAGTCGATCCGTCTGACCGGAGGTCGATTCGCAAAAGAAGACATTACATACTCAAGCGTTAAATTGGGGTATTCAATGTTGACGAATCGACGCGATTCGCAAGGGTCGACTCGACTCGTCATTAGTTGACTTTCAGTATGACGGGTTACATCAACTGTGACGAGTCGTTCGATGCGAGTTGAATCGAGTCGATTCGACAACATCTTCAACCCCATTTAATACCTACTTGCGGAATGTTTTCTAAGTGTCTTGCAAATCGATTTCTGGAATGACTGGTTGACTTTCACTAAGACGAGTCTTTCGATTCGACAACATTTTCAACAACCCTGGTCAATTGCTTGCGAAATATTTTGTAAGTGTTTTGCAATTGACTTCCGGTATGCGTCTCCATCTAATTAGAGATGGTTTATCAGATTTCCAGTATAACCCCTCTTCGTCGTCATGTACTCGCGGAATATTTTCTAAGTGTCATGTAAATCGACTTCCGGTATGACGGGACGACATCAACTGTGACAAGTCGTTCGTTTCGACAAAATCTACAAATTCCTTTCGTGGCCACTGCCGAATATTTTCTTAAGTGTCTTGCAAATCGACTTCCGGTATGACAGGTCGACATTAACTGTTACAAGTCGTTCAATTCGAGTCTAATCGAGTCGACTCTACAATATTTTCAGCGGCCCTTGTTAGTTACTCGCGGAATATTTTCCTAGGGTCTTGCAAATCAACTTCCAGTGTGACGGGTCGACTTTAACTGAGACGAGTCGTTCGATTCGAGTCGAATCGAGTCAATTCGACAACATCTTCAACCCCATTTAATACCTACTTGCAGAATGTTTTCTAAGTGTCTTGCAAATCGATTTCTGGTATGACTGGTCGACTTTAACTGAGAAGAGTCTTTCGATTCGACAACATTTTCAACAACCCTTGACAATTGCTTGCGAAATATTTTGTAAGTGTTTTGCAAATTGACTTCCGGTATGCGTCTCCATCTAATGAGAGATGGTCCCAGTATGAAACGAAAATACGAATTTATGCCCAAAACACCTGTGTGCAGAATAACCAATTTCAAGTAACACTAGTACAACCTAACCAACTAGGTCCAGTCCAAAATTACCCATCAATTACTATCCCCATTTCGATGTGGACCGCTGGTTGTTGCGTGGCTCCAAATGGCCAGGCAGGGAGTTTTGCGGTGATTGGAAATAACGATGCAAACCAGCTGCCCTTCATAAGTCAGATAAGCCTTGCCCAGCTTCAAAACATCCTCACAACCGATGTCACCCAAAGTGGCTTAAGTGGACCTGAAGTGAATCTGTTTCCAGGACTTGCAAACTGCGTGAATAACAATGCAGCACAGCTTCCTCAAGCAGCAGCGGGTGGATAGAACAAAAAAAGAAAGTCATTTAAGAGTACGGCTATCGATCGTGGTGAAATAAATTATTATAAAGCATTTGTTGCTTGTCTTAATTTGTAGTTTCTTCCCAAGTGCATACTAGACTTCCTCAGGCAATGGGTTCAACTTATTATGTGTTTCCTTAAACTAAGTGGGCACTATGCTCCGCTGTGATTGGCTGGTTTTAGTGTATTTCGAATATTTGCCCGCCTTCGTTTCGTTCTCCTGTTTTTGTATTACTTGATCCTTAGCATCGATCGCTCGGAAAAACTAGATACCACTGTTACTTGCTTTATATTAATCAATTTCCGGGTATTTACTGGGTTTCTTGGCCGCAGAAAGGTTCATTGCATATGGCAACCACAGAAGCTGAACGAAAGCTCAGATTAAACGTATATTAATTTTAATATGCTACTCCCTTCACCTTAAGGTCTTCCCTTTCCTAATTACCACTTGGATGGCCTGATAGCCGTTTACTATAGTCATAACTTATTCAAAGCTTTGCGCTGTTTATGATGTAAGGGTGCAGTGATGATAACACAATGAAAAGTATTAAGAAGTATGAATTTGCAATGTAGATCGCAACAAACCTCATCTTTGTTCATAAAAGGCACAAAGGAACAAAGAAAATTAATATCTGGTGATGCAAACCTAACGATAAGTCAAAAACCAATAACTAAGATATTAAAAGTATCTTAACAGACACCAGCCTTGTTCTTGAAAAGTGATGTCTCGCTAGATTACTTTTGACGGATTCTTAAAAAGTTTCACCGGTGATTTTTCAATGCTAAAATTCCATTTTGGTGAGAAAGAATTTTCATCTATAGTTCCAAGCTTCATTTAGCATTTTTTTATCATTGCAATCCTAAGCAGGAAGGTTTAATTTCTTACTGATGGTGAAATTCCTCATCTGAAGGAGATTCTCCTGACGACTATCACCAATGATTCATCAAAGTGTCATGTTTCAAGAGGCTTACAGCATTACGGTAGGAGATGAGTTAAGTGAACTAGAGTCCCATTGGATTGGCATTTTCAGTGGAAAACCTTGATATCCTTTCTCGTAATCTAATCGTAGCGGTTTTTTGTAAGTTTCGAGGAGGTTTTGATACCTATTTATTGTTGAAAAAAGTTTTGGAGAATTTCTCCTTCTAGCGAACGATGAAGGAATCTGTCGCGAAAGTTTTATCGCCTCTGATCGTTATTGTCTTGGTGTCATCAAATATAGAAACCACTGAATGCAGGTTGAACAAGAGCCACAAGAAAGGTAAGAGGAGAAATTTGTTTTTTTTGTAGGAAGGAAATTTGTAAAGCTGTTGTTTCATGGCAAACTTTGCTTTGTGAAGATCTCTTAAACTTTGAATCTACATGTAACTGTCATCGCCGAGTTATTCCAGGACACTGATAGAACTTCAGTGACATTTATTCTCTTGTTTTACTTTTAATTTATAGTTAAATATGGTTGGGATACTACCGGTTATAAACTCTCAATATTATTCTCATCTTTGTTATTTGATGTTATAAGGTTCTATGAGGTATCATAATTTCCTACCACAACTTAATATTTTATGAAAATGGGAAAAAAAATGTCCATCATTCAAGATCTGATTTTTATTTCATCACTGGTAGATGTTAAGTAAATCTCTAGTAGCGAACTGCTTTTGTTTGTAGAAGAACGAAAAGACACCTTATTACGCAATTACCTGATTGACTTTTGATGAAAGGCGAAAACATACGCTCCCTCGTAATAATAATAACAAGTATCATTACATATTGTAGATATCAGGGTAATGAAGTCGTGACTATGATGATATCATTTCACTGCAATCACTGATTTCATATCACTTTTTGAGTTGAGTTGTCCAATCCGAAAGACTTTCTTGCTAAGCCACTTTGATAATTTGTATTCTCATAATTCCCGCTGACACTAAATTGGATCGAAAAAGCTTTTTCTTTTAAGTTTTGTCAACCATCTTACACTGTTTACTTTCGCTCGTTTCTGACTTTACTCTCGACAATTCAACGTAACCCGTTCTGTTTCACGATCTATCAACTCTTTTCTATTCTGACTTTAGGTTTCAAAAACACTCACTAGATAAGGAGATCCACACCCATGTACGAAATTTAGTGTGGGCTGTCGAGGCTTGCTCACTTTCTACAAAGATTCGTGGGCCCTGATTTCCTATCAAACGTGGGTTACTTTATAATCATTCCCCTCATTCCCTTCGCACTGGACGCCCTAGAAGTATCCGTTCAGATACACCATTGTTCGCAGAACTGATTTTTTTTTTTATTTCATGCAGCAATGCTTCCTGCTACATTCTTCGAAGATACTTAAGCGTTAGCGAAATAACAACTTGCTTGATAAACTGCAAATAATACAATAAAATAATAAAATTACTTTTCAGCATAGAAACGCTTCACGGCAATAAACCCATGAAGATAACGGACCCATATGTAACTTAATATTCATCTTTCAATAGGAAATGATTATTCAAACCGCACCAACAACAGATCTTACGAAGCCTTTATCGAGGATAATGCGCAGACTCGAGCAGCGCCTGCTCCACTGATGGTCTTCACTAATCCTCACCAACCTTGCTACATTCAATTTTTCGTAAATGGAAACCCATCCGTAGGTCTGCGAACGGGAATCAATTTAGGGAATATAAAATATATTTGCCAGCAAGTTAATGGTCTAGTTTATTACGCAACGATGTTTGACGAAAGGCAAGGCATTGCTGTGTTCTCAGCCTATGTATTGACACCAACAAACGTGAATTTCAACACCAATAATCTTCAACGCACGCCATCCTAGAGGCGATCACAAGGTAAATACACGGAAGTTAAATGTAAAGTTGATATTGGTCGTAAGTAGGTCTCTCTCCCTGACCCCCGCTCCTATCACCACATTTTCTGATTTTCCCGCAAAATGTGCTTTTTTTTTTTTCTTTTTATGTCTGTTCGTTCCTCCGGTCGTCCATACGTGTGTCTATCTGCCTTTCCACATGTCAGTCTCTCTGTCTGCCGTCTGAGCGTCTGTCTGTCTCTCCATTTGTCCATCTGTCTGTCTGCTGTACGAGTGTCTGCTTACTGTGTCTGTCTGCTGTCTGAGTGCCTGTCTGTCTCTCCATTTATCCATTTGTCTGTCTGCTATCTGAAGAGGTTGGGTTTTTGTATGTCGGAAAGACCTTGACGATACGTAATTACACTGTTTCCTGACCGTCCCTTACTCCTCTGACAAATAGAGACTCGAAATCGTCTGTCTTTGCGGCCATCTAGCAGTCCGATTGTCTCGCTATTGGTAGGTCTTTGTAAGTCCTTCTCTAGGTCCGTCCGTTGGTATTTTCTCCATACAACTGTTCGTCTGTGCTGCCTTTCTGACTGCATGATGGCGTCTGTTGAAGAACTAAACTAATCAGTAACTGTATCCTCACATTCAAGGTATAGGCACACAAGGAAGCACTGCAATATATCAAACTCAGGGTCAGCAAATCGACAAAGGTCACCTCGTCCCTGGGGCCACATACTCCAGCACTAGAGACAGCGCTTGTTCCACTTATGTCTACACCAACGCTGTACCCCAATATCGTGCCTTCAACCGCGGCTTATGGGCTCAGTTTGAGGCGAGGGTACGAGCGTTCGCTCCCCAATGCACGGGCAATGGCGGACGTTTGTACCTGTTGACAGGTACCTCGTTCCTTCAAAACACCACTCAAGGAGTGAACACACCTCCTGTGGTCCAGTTGGGTCCAGCAGGGAGGCGCAACGTTTGTCCAGCGATATCTATTCCAAATTCGATGCGGACCACTGGCTGTTGTGTGCTTCCAAATGGGGTGCGAAGCTTTGCAGTGTTTGGGAACAACGTACCAAACGCAGCGCAGAGCTTGACTCAGCAAATGTCCGTTGCATCACTAGAAAACATTTTATTGCGAGATGTTCTGCATCACGCCATGGTGGGACAACCGTTCAGCCTCTTTCCCGCATGGAATGGAGCCTGCTCACAGTCCCAGAATAACATATTGATATAAGAAATCGCCACGGCAATTGTAATTGGAATATAGAGCGACTATTTATCTATTCGGAAAGAAAACTGAAAAGAAAGTGAAGTAATGAATTCACACAGACAACAGGAAGGCAAGATTAGGACTTACCGTGTCGTATTTAGTACACCTAATTTCTTGCTTCATGTCAGAGGCAGTAAACGGGTCATCAAGTAAGTAAGTCACGGTGTTAAAAAATGTTGCTAATATCTGTTCCCTAAAATAAATATCTAGAACGTTTCAATTCTCGCACTGATTGAAATTTTGGGCTGGAGATTGGGGTGAGGAAGGCCAAATTTGATCCAATTGCACATGTCCGACATTTGACCGCTATGTTACGTCAATGACAATTGAAATTTCATGTTTTCTAAAACACTTTAATTATATACGTCTTTAAACAATTTAGAGTTTTAGTCCTTTGATTTACGGGACTCGTCGCGTGGAATAGTATACCCAGGTCCATTTCCTTTCCTCCTCAAATCTCTACATTCAAGGTGAATTCTTCTCCCCTCGCGAACAGCAATACATATGAACCCAGCTTGGCAATCTTTCGAGGCCTTCTCATTATCGTTGCATGCTAAAAGGATAGAAAAAAAAAACGCGGTTTAATTGTGATGGTTAAGATCGCGGATGAAAATACTGGAACGATTGTATATATCTCGGCAGTCTATTAACCCTTTACACCCAAACATCAGTATGCATATTCTCCATACTGTTCTCTATATATTTCCTAAGTAGCTGACAAGGAGAATTTGTTTAGCAATCAAGAGCTTCTAGGTGATCATTTCCTCTATTGTCATGATCATGATCTCAAATGAAAGAGTCAGCAGTATAATTGTCAGACGAAACTAGATGTTTGTCACCCTTAGGGTTAAAAATTTTGGTCCTGTTTGTTAACAGAATGGTGAGTTTTAGATCCATGTTTGTTTCTAAATACGTGTGACTGAAAAGGTCTAGGGGTCACGTGACCAGACTCCAGCGGTCATGTTCGCCGTTTGCCGTCCACCTTTTATTTTCGGGCACAGCAGTTTCAGGTACTTGAGCTCCCTCAACGCCTCTTCTATTCCTGTTCGAAAGTGCTCACGTATGGCCTATAAGTATAAGTAAGGTGAGGTCTTTTCTTCATAACCAGGAGCCCATTATCCGGAGCTTCAATCTTCCATACTTACCCTCTGAGTCAACCCTGTCCCGTATCTTTTTTAATTATAGAAGCACCTCCCACGGGGTTTTTCGCGGGTGTTTACATAATAGCCAATCATAAGAGAGCTACACATGCAGGCCGCACGAAAGTATTTCAATAATGGCGAAAAGCGTGGAAATTAACCATTTTTTTCGGGTAATGGGCTCCTGTCATAACCAATCCGTTTGGAACGCTCGGAAACCAATCTTTTAGCCACAGTTTGTGTTTGAAATGAAGGACCTCCATTTTTTGTGTAATTCAAGATGGCGGCGAACATGTGGTTTTTTTCAGTCGAAGGCCGACGTCGATCTAAAAAACTGAAAGTCTCAAAACTTTTAACTTCTGACCACCAATTGCTAACTGGTTTTACGTTTGCGGTAATCACACCAAACGTGGATCTAAAACTCTCTAAAAGCAATGTTTACGGTACCTCGCCATGCTGCCGCATCGCTGGAACCCTTTTGACCTAAATAAAAAAAAAACCAGTGAATAGTAAATTTAAAAATAAGAATAAATGAAATATATAATTGTGTGTCCATTGACATGATTTTGAGAGCGAGCTTTCTTCTTTCGCTCTGTGGAAGAGGAAAAACTGGATCAGTTAAGGACCATTCGTTATATATTTTATCGCCAAAAGGGGGGGGAGGGGGTTCCAGGATCTTTAATGGTCTTATTACCCTCCCTCCTCTCCTTATTTCGGTCAGTTTTCTACAGCCCCCCCCTTAGACACGATCTGAATAAAACGTAAGTAGTAAACTGGTTTAAGTGCACCAAAATTACCAGAAACGTCTTAAAAGGACTTCAGACATTCCACAATGATTACCAGAGGTTTGAGGAGAAAGCTTTTCCATGCGGAAAACGTGCTGAAAGAAAACGTTCTATTTATGAACTTGCGAGAAACGCACGCTTGTGCGTAGGTGTTGAAGGCTTTTCAACTTTTTCCGTACTCTCGCGATTTCGATTTGTGTCAATGGCATACGCCCTTTAAAAAAAAAACCTGCAATTTGATTTATAACTGCGTTTAAGGTGTTTTTATATTGTCGCGTAAGTTTTGCCGTACGTAAAACGTGCGTGAAAGTATAAGAGTTAAGTAAATAGATCTGGGCAGTATAAGGGGAGATGCTTGGAATGAAATGGGAGAGGATGAATCAAAATATTGTATAATTATTCACCGAAGTGGAGGTGAATAGTACTTGCTTCCGAACTAGCCAATTAGCGCGTGTGAAAATCACTATTCACTAGAGTGGTATATACTAAGATCACCTACTGCTATCGGATAGTCAATATCGGTAAATGCATGAGAAAAAAAACCATAGGAATACAATTATTGCTCTTACAACTTCAAAAAGAAATACTTCAAACTCTGGGTTCAATAGTGTTATGATCATTAAGGACCGGTGCCCGACAATCAGGCGATGTGAAACCTGTACCAAAGTTATCATAACAGCCGACTGACAACCAGGGAAACAAACGAATTATGTCACAGTCAAATATAGTAGGAAATGCACGTTTGAGTCACGTCGCGGTTGGTTTCTTTTTTTATTTATTCCGAAAATTGAAGCTCACCCATAGGGTTTACTTTTAAAATCATATGATGAAAATCTTTTTTTCCAATACGACGAACCCAAAGAGGCGAAAGGAGAAGGAAAACTATTTGGGGTGTTAGCGATCATTTTTTAAACTACACAGAAGGTTAAGTAGGATTCTCAGTCTGGATGCGATTTAACCTGACTCAAGCGGCTTTTTTTTATTTTATCTAGTTTGTAGCTTATATTCTTATAGACCTTTCGACCAGTTTTATAAAACTCGAATACATTTTATTCTAATGATGGTACTTTTAGGATCGAGGGCGACTAATCCATCAGTTGAATTACTGTTGTGTGTTACCCTCCTTAAATAAATTTGTTATTATTATTATTATTATTATTAATATTCTAAAGCACATATACCTACAATGATACAAACCAAACAGAAAACAACACAAAGAACAACAATGAGCTTCATCGTGAGTTCTGTCTTCTCGCTGATAGCAGTATCTTCTTTTCGACCTCTCTGCGAAGTTGTTTATGCTAGTTCAATGATAAATCCGATCAAGTTATATTCGCATATCATATGAATCATTTATCGAGTTACATGTCTATAAGGTAATGCATTTTTACCTATCAAGGCCCCTTGAGTCCTCAGGCTATTTTCAACCCATTATTTTTATGATGTTTTCCGATGGGGTGATGGCCTGAGGGGTACTTTTACGGGTGACGATTAACATTTGGCCATTTTGCGACTTCCAGGCAATTTTCCTTCCGTTTCGATTAAAGAAAGAATTTTAGGGCTGAGTATTTTTACGACAAAGTTGCATAATGGCTTAGGTTTTTTGGCCCAGTTTACGGTTAACGGTTAACCCCTTTACACCCTAACATTAGTATGCATATTCTCCATACTGTTCTCTATACATTTCATAAGGAGCTGACAAGGAGAATTTGTTTAACAGTCAAGAGCCCGACGTGATCATTTCCTCTTTTCTCATGATAATGATCTCAAATGAATGCTATGAGCGCTCCTCTCGACTTCCCGTCGAAAAAATTGTTCTTTAAGACAAAGAGGAGCATCAGGATTATTAAGAATACTGAAAAGTTTTCTTAGTTTTATAAGGTCGAAAATAGGAAGCCATTTGAGTTTGGAAAATAACATGAACGAAATATTTACGCTCTGAGATTGCTAGTTTCTAGGAACGATCATTTTCACGAACCTACTTGGGTATCTGTTGTAGATCTTCAGTTCTCATGAATGTGCGTGTTCCACTTGTAGCTTAGCCCTTAACCAATTGTTAAGTTTTTTTTGGAAACCTTTCTCTGAACAAGGAGTTTAAACGCTAACTGTTACTTATTTACCTCAATATCGTCACGCTTGTCCAGTCCACGCAAAAAAGTAAGATGAGCTTCAATCTGAGGAGTTACCCGAATGACCTTCTCACTGAGGAATTTGAAAAGACAATCGTCCTCAGAGTCAGGGTAATCTAAATTTGCCCTCCGTTCTTTTATTCATTTATACTATGGATTTTAAGTGCTCATGTCACAAGTCACTGTAGACCCTTGCAAGTGGTACAATTGGTACAAATAAGGCACAGTATTTCCTGATGCGGACCTCCCAGCCGACAATCACCAATAAGTGTTCTCTCTTGAGATTTGGCTTCTCGTTAGGTCTTAGCTCTACTCAAAAACTCGTCTTGTCTCTGGCTCTAATTAGCCTACAAGGGGAGAAAATAAGCAGACACGACACTAACACTTTTCGTGCATTAATACCACGTTTAAAGCTCCTTTTATACTAATCATGATGACGGGAATCACTCACCAGTGCCCAAGCAAAGCTTGCTGAAAAGTTAAAATCGTCAACAGTACCACCCAATGCATGCTTCCGAACGAGAGTCAGCGAACTATGAAATTAAATGTTCTCTACAATTTGATTTTCATATACTTTTTAAAGTTGACTTCAGCTGACACCCATCTGTTTTTGTTTAAAAGGTTTTGACATGTCTAGAAATATTAGCTGTGGAAGAGGTAAACTGTCGAAATTAAAATTATAAAATTGTGGCAGCTAAACAAGCAAATTCTTTCATTGTTACTCACGTCGAATTTGAACAGAATTTCTTCCCTCAAACATAAGTCTCTTGCAATCCCTGCAAAATTCGTAAAGGTTGTGTTTATTAGGATGAAATAGTATTTTCTTTAGAAATTTTCAAAGCTGGAGACACTTTCAAGTAAAT